GGGGCTGGGTTGGGCTGGAGAGGGCAGGGGCTATTCCCAGAAGAAGGAGGCAGCAGCTTCTGGAAATGTCAGTGTTTATTAAACATATGAGGACATTCGGGGGTTGAGAAGAAATATACAGAATGTAGAAAAATTCTAAGAATCCCCTGTGGCTGGGAGTGTGGCCTCTTCCCTTTCACCCTAGTTCCCATTTGTTTTCCTCCTTTCTGTGTGGTTGTTTAAAAGTCATTTCTTAAGGCTCATCTGCCCCTTTCCTCAACTCCTGACCTGAGGATCGTTGTCCCTCCTCCCCCAGGACCTCGAGCCCCAGGACAGTGCTCGGAGCGGCCGCCCCCGAGGCGGGCGTCAGGGGGCCCTGCGCCCGGCGGACTCCCTGAAGGACGTAATGGGGGCGGGGAATCGAAACATCCACATGACGTCATTGGTACTCAGTCATGGGGGTCAGAGCAAGGGCACCGGCAAACCAACCAACAAGCTTGGATTAAAAAAAATAAAAGAACCGAAATAAACCCTGCAGGGAGGCTGATCTGGATGACCCGGTGTTAGCTGAGAGCACACAGTAGGGCAGGGCCCCTGACGGAGGGGTGGGAGGGTCAGGGAGGGAAGAGGCAGCGGGACAGGCTGGGTGCAGGGGCACGGGTGCAGGTGGCCTGGAGTCGAGGCGCGGGGTAGCAAGGTCCCTTTCTTCTCGGTGCCGGAGGGACAGGCACCAAACACACAGTCCTTGGGGGCGGTGCAGGGTAGGATCAGGCCCTGGACTCCCAGAAAGCCAGGGGGTGAAGGTGGGGGAGAGTATGACGTGCCTGGGGAATGAATTTTGGAGTGAAACTTACATCTCAGAGGGAAGTGAGGGCAGGGCAGGCAGCTAGAGGGGCAAAGGGAGCCCGGCCCCGGCTCTGGCAGGGCCTGGGCTGGTCACGGGTCCGAGTCCCGGCCCATCATGTTCTTGAGGGCGTTCTTGAGGCTGGTTCTGCTGGGGGACTTGACTGCGGGCCTGAGCTCCGAGCTCTGCTCGTCCTTGCGAAGCTCCATCTCGATGACCACCACCTGCGCGCCCTGGGGGGCCTCCGCCCCTGCGCCCCGAGCCCCAGCCCGGCCCGCTAACCGCTATTTCTTATCCTTGCGAGACTCCCCCAGCCCCTTGGACTTCTTCTCACTGGCCGCCTTGGTGCTCCTGCTGTGGTCCAGCATGGCGTACAGCACGGGCGTCTGGGGAGGGGCGCAGTCAGTCACC